AGGAAATGCAAAGGGCTCGTCATCATGTGAAGACGCTCAACCACACGCAGAACAGACCTGCACACCGAGACCACACTGCTCACCTCTCAGACTGCCACCATTCCCAACATCCGCCGGCACACTGATTGTCTTGGTGAGGCTACGGAACACAGGGATGCTTCGATTTTGCTGGTAAACACTGGACAAGCCCTTATGGAGTGGAGTGTGGCAACGCATAGCAAAATCATAAATGCATGCACCCCGAGACTCAGCGATCTCATTCCTAGGAATCGCTCCCAAAGAAACCGTGGCAAGAACACCAACAGAGGCGTGCGTGCGATGAGGCACCGCGGCGCCATGGGCAGGAAACAACGCAGAAGTCCACCAGCGGGGCCCTGCTGGGAGACTCACGACCACACAGTCACACAGCGCAGAGTACACGGCAGCAAAAAGAGTCACCGAAAAGTAAATGGCAGCGGTTCTCAACGTGTGTGGGTCGTGACCCCTCTGAGGTCGGGTCGTCCCGATTCATCACAGTAGCAAAATGACAGTGATGAAGTAGCAATGAAAATAATGTTGTGGTTGGGGGTCACCACCACATGAGGACCTGTATGAAAGGGTCGCGGCATGAGGAAGGTTGAGGACCACTGCTCTATGGTATTGCTACTATGGAGAGCCCCCAGGAGAGATGAAACGGATCAAAAAGGAAAGTAAGGGAACATGCGCAGCTACTATTTATCTCCATGGGAATGCGCAACACACAGTAACACCTGAGGGTGCACTAGTCAAAGGCTCTGATGGGGAAACACCTGGTGATCCTTTCTGGGAAGCAAAGAGGGGAGTGTGACAAGGAGAGGACCGGGTAGAAGCTGGAGCAAAGGGTACCCCAGAGACTCACTGAGCCTTAGAAGTAGGCTGTAGGCCTTCAGACAAAAACATGCCTAAAGATGCTGCCGTAGAAGCTGCAGGGGGTGCTGGGAAGTACCTGTATCGAAGGCTTCTTGTCTGTCTTCCCCAGGGAGCGGGTTCCTCTTTTCTTCAAGGAATGCTGGTGGGAGATTTAAAAAAAAATCAAGAGCTGAAAGTTTACAAGGGCAACACACCATCTGAAGACCAGTTAGTTTCAAGGGTGATGCTGTGGCCCTGCCCCAAGTCTCTGTCAGTCATGACCTTGACCAGCACCAACT